TCGGTCCTCCACAGCCTGCAATTGTTGGTCTTCCTGTAGTGTCCTCTTTGTGAATTGTTTGGTAAGGGATAGTGATGTGTTCTTGCTTGTGTATCTATTGTGAGAAATTTGTGTGTTGTGCTGTCAGTTTACATCTGATATGTGGAGTTTATTTGCAAGTCTTTTAGTTTCGGCTAGTGTCTCAGGGGTTAGGTCGTGCGTAAGTTTTTGGTAATGATTAGAGTCATTTAATTGTTTCTGTGCCTCAGCTAGATAGGTATCTTTGGGCCAGATTTCAATGGCTCCTCCCTTGTCTGCCGGTTTAACCATCAAATCATTATCAGTTAGCTTAAAGTTATGGATAGCTTGTAGCTAATCTTTATAGATATATTTGGTTTTGCAGGTTCTTCTTCTTTGTGTTTCTAAAATTTCAGTTTTGAGATCATGATAAATGTTTGAAATGTAATCTTTGAAGGTTACTGTGATCAGGTATAGGGGTTGTGAAATTTCTTGGTAGCTTAAGCAACATATTGAACAGTTCAGGTACCATACACTTTATTTTACCTGCTATTTAGCTAGAATACTATTGCTACAAATTGAATTGGTCCTAAAGCCCGTGGTTATGCATTGTTATTCTAATTGTTAGGCTATTGTTTCAAAACGAAGGTGGCAAATGTCAGGTTTACATGGCGGCGAAATGATAAAAAACATAAACAGAGGCACGCAACAGATCGTAGTTGAAATGAAGAACCATGAAAACAAGTTATTCATCAATGCTTGTAAACCAGCAACTATCGTATATTCCGCCTTTGTGCATAATCATTTACAGTGGTGCTGGTGGGCTTTGGACAGGCTTGGGAACAGACACAAAATAGGGCAACAATTAATCGGTCAAAGTTCGAGTATTCTGCGCACGTACAAGAAGAACGAAGCAGTAACTTACAGATCGTATGTCAATAGAGAACGTCCAAGACAAAGGTCAAGGCACTTCACTTCAACAAATGTCTAAGCGAGAAAGAAATAACCCTAGCGAAAAGGAAATTCCACCTACTCACACGTTCATATTACGCGTTGTGAGTGACTGGTCTGGTGAGTTGCATATGTATTAATAACAGTGCGCAAGGACTATCGAAGAAGGACAAACAAATTAATGAATTTATTATTCATAACTAGAAAGTACAGGCTTGGAGAAACCCTCGCCTTGCTGACAAAACCATTATATTTTCCAGTCATGAAGCACTTGAAATAGTTGTCATGGTAACACGATAATTTTATTAAGAATATTTTTAGAATTAAAAAACCTCTAAAATATCACTTTTAGCTACAAAATCATAAATTGCCCAAACATATATATGTTGGGCATGTTATTATACGTGGGTCTATAGTTATAAGCCATTCTTATATAGTGGTGTTACCGTAGGGACATTTAATATGTTGGGGACAACGCCTTGCAGAATTGATTGATTATAAATATAGGAGAAGAGTTTCGATAAACTTAAGCTAGCATATATAATCAACAATCGTGGACAAAAGTGTTAATAAAATCGATCGACATTTTAGGAAAATACAATAAAATAACTTCATTAGGTCCCCCCCACTCCCCCACTCAATGTTGCCATGATTTTCCTCTCATTTTAAACGTAGTTCAACAACATTGTGTTGGGGGAAGGGGGGAGATGTTTTAGACAAACTACAGGAATTAAACTACTATTTAAACTCTCACAGAGGCAAATTAAAATTTTATTAACAAGTTATGTCCACGATTGTCTGAACACGGACCTTAAACTAATAAGTGTTTTTTTTGGCCTATATTTGCTACCTATTGCCTGAATATCTCTACCGAGCACTAGATTGTTTTAGGTCAAACGACGTTTCATATATTTAAAATGGGTTGCTCTCTGGTATATTCCCGTAGGTTTAGATAAACAGATGATACGCGATATTGATTGTCGCAATCACTTCGTGCGAGTAACGATTGCAGTGTAATGTAAATGATGCACACTAAAACTTGTACCATTGACGTACACGGTGCACAGCAATCGCACATTTTTTGTGGTTTGAACCGTATAAAATCAGGGTAACTTTATATTAGCCTTTAAGCGTAATTTACCGATAAAACTGACACAGAAGTCCAAAACCGCTGGTAATTTGCAGTATAGGTCATATTAATATTTTGTCGTAATTCCGTTGCCTTTTTGTACTGCGTTGTATACTAAACTTCTAAGGTGAGTTTGTAAGATTAAAATATGCAAAATAAACATTTTCAATCTAGTAGCAGATTTTAGCTTGAATAGCGTAACGTAAATGACTGTGTAGTAAAATATCAGCAGGAACGTTTGAATGTAATTTGCTTATGCCTCAGTAATTAACAACGCAACGCTTAACCAGACGGTTAACCACGGTTATAAATGTTAGAAATTATTGCAGGCAACGCTTTAGGACGATAAATTTTGTAGTTTTTCTATTTATTAGACATGAATGAACTTCCTTTTAAATGTTTACATCGTAATTATGGTTACAATTCGCTTATTTGGGCTTTTAAGCACGGTTAACCATAATATTGATAAATATTTGATATCTTTAATAGCTTTTGAAACAAGCGGTTAACCGTAGCAGAACATCGTATTTCTGCACAATTCGGAGTTCTGATAACTTGATCTTTTCTGATACAATCCTGCATTTTCTGGAAATGTCAAAAATGCTACAATGACTACACAAGTATGCCAGCAAACATAACATTTCTCATTATTGTCGATGGTTAACCGTCACGGTTAACCATGGTTAACCGTTCCGCGTGATGTGAAACCAGAGGTAGATATTCGCCCCAAAGCACAATATAAGGTTATTTAATACGAACTATACAGTTAGCAAGAGCAGAAGATGCACAATTAATTTGTGTAATATTAATGTATTTTTTCACTAAGCCTTCTCATTAACTGAAAGTTTATGTACTGCACATGCATGTTGGTTGCATCAAAAGCATGCACTTGCAAATCTATCTTAAATTAACATATATAGTGTTGATCAGCGTTTTTTTGTTTATAAAAGCACATATAGTCGAAAAAATAATGTTTTTTGTCTCGTTTTGAAACTTAAAAATCTCGGCTGAAAGGAATATACATTGTGAACCGTAAAATCCTCGGCAGCTGATTGCATTTTAACGGGGAAAACTGCAATTTATTGGAGACAATCGTGGACAAAAGTGTTAATAAAATTGATCTACATTTTAGGAAAATACAATAAAATAACTTCATTAGGTCCCCCCACCCCCCCACTCAATGTTGCCATGATTTTCCTCTAGATCTCATTTTAAACGTAGTTCAACAACATTTTGTTGGGGGAAGGGAGGAGATGTTTTAGACAAACTACAGGAATTAAACTACAATTTAAACTCTCACAGAGGCAAATTAAAATTTTATTAACAAGTTATGTCCACGATTGAAGGACACCGGAACGACGAGAGGGCAAAGGGGGCAGACTTTCGTCGAAAGGCACTTTTCAATTGATATTATATTAAAGGACGTTTACGAAACATCTGGGGTTTAACGCTGCCATAATCACGTTTCTGATTTGTAAAGAAATAGGGAGGTCTGCGGTTCTCCCCCTGAGGATTTTGATATTTTTGATGCTCAATGACTGCATTTCTGGCACAAGAGAATTCAGCCAAATATGCCCAAAATGACTGTTGTCGTACGCGAAATCTGAGCTAAAAAGAGGCTCTTTAAATCAAGTTCTTTCAAGTAATTTTATTTTTTCTATATTATCGCTTTACTGTTATTTTAATTTCGCCCCCCTTCTAGGCCTAATTATTTTCAGAGGTCCCTGCGAAAAATATGAGGTGACACGCACGTTAACCGCAAATTGGAACAACACTGGAATCATATAAACTTAATTTCCATACATTTCTTACAGTTTTTCAGCAAAAGGTTGTTATGTCATATAGTTTATATAGTTATATAATAACAAGAACGAATTCTCAGTATTAATTACAAATATTTTCCTTTAATCAAAAGGCGGCCACTTTCTCCCCCCTTGCCCCTCCTGGTAAAGGTCAAGAGGGGTAGCTGCCCCTACTGCCCCCCAGTTCCGGCGTCCCTGTATTTAATTAATTTATTTGGAATATCTAACGAAACTTTTCTTACGTCCATATTAGAAAAAAAATATATGCTATGTAATTTTCGTCAGTTGGTGAAAAAAAAGCTATACTTATATACTTAAGCGGATCATTATTAACGTCTGTACAGTCAAGTGCCAATAAGTTCCGTTTCTTCAAATTGAGGTTACTTTCGGTACGATGGAAAATGTTGATTATAATAATAATTTTTTAATTAGTTTTTAACAGGTTAAGTAAATTGAAGTACTGTTTATGCATTTGCAATTTTTCCGGATCTTCAGTGAAAAAATTTATTTATATAATTTTTTGTTTTTCGTTTATCGAGGTAAGTAAGCCCTTAGAGATCCAAGGTTTGGCAAGTCGTTGTTTCATTTTAGACAAAGACGCTTTTTAGTGGTGCGTGTTTATGCCTGCACTCTTTGATTAGTCCACAATCTTCTACGTACCATGCAGATGAATTAAGTGCGCATGCATGTTTTAACGTCAATTTCCTTGTAATTCTCCAAATCAACACCTTCGAACACAACGTTCACAGGAATGGATTCGAATGTATATTAGCATCCACAATTATATAACATAATGTACGGTCTCAGTTTTTATGGTGCCTGAGATCCCAGTGTGTCCGCAACATGTTCCCACTCCAAGGAGTCTCATTATAAATGGGTCGTTCAAAATAGAATTAATAATATATTATCTTTTCGTTCATTTGCTTTCAACCACAAATTGTGTAATAAGATCGAAAAGCAATATCAGAAGAATAGTAAATCATTTCACGAGTATTTCCGTTTACCCTTTATTAACAACAAGTAATTACCGCAATGGAATCCTGTTAATTCCACAATTACTTTTTGTTTTGACAGTAAAAAACTTTATAGATTTGTTCAGTTCACAGCGAAAAAGGTTTCCTCTATTTCCCATTTGGATCATCTTCACCTGCAAGGAGACATAGGAATTGCAAATTGTTCGTGGGATCCAAACATTCCAATGGTTCGTTACAATCAAGACAGTCGCTGTTGTCGCTACATGGCATCTCGTAATCTGGGCAATTCATTTGAGCAAGGTTTCGAACTTTCCAATGATCAGGAGTTACCTACAGAATAGTAAGGATATTTTCTGAAATTATATCAGCTAGATATAGTCTGAATTTCAATCAATAATCTGTCTTTTCAAAGACCATATCAAATAATAAATAACGTTATAGACCCAATGAACTTTTAATCAACAGGCCAAGATAATTAGATAAACAAGTGATCAACTCAAAATTAGCTTGAGTAGAAAGATATAATATACAGCATTACTCTTGTAAATATTTTGAAAGTTTATAATGTAATTGTGATTTTTGTTGTAACTCTGATATTCCGAAGATGGCGCCATACTGGAAAAATGTTGTATCTAGTGCTTCTAATCAACTTCTTAACGGGTTTGGTAACCCAAACTTTCGCCAAAAATAACTAAGCCGGCCCGAGGAATTTTGTGATTTCAAACGTACGCGTATACGAAACAGGAAACATAAATAGGTACTGAAACTATAATTAAGTCCTACACTGCAAAAAATCCACTTCTCAATTTGAGTCAAATTACTCATTTTGCGAGCAAAGTCACTCACAATTTGAGTAATTGGCATGTTTTACTCAGCGGTTGAGTAACTCTACTTTGAAACATGAGTAAAATTGTCTTTATCGACAGTAGGTGAGTCATTTGACTCGGCCCGAATGAGTAAATTTACTGAATTTGTGAGTAAAATTACTCATACAGCGAGTAAAATTGCAAATTCATTTTACTCTGACGCTTCCTGAGTAAACGTACTCAAAATTTTGAGTAAAACATCGTCTTTACCCAAAGACTGAGTAAACCAAATTATCAGCACTCAGATATCGAGTAACATTACTCATGGATTGAGTAAGAATATACCAATTTACTCATCGTTTGAGTAAAGTGAATTAGCTTTACTCAAGCTTGAGTAAAAACATAGTAAATATTCGTTGTTAGTAATTCTACTCAGAAACGTGAGTAAAATTGTCTTGATGGGCAATAGGCGAGTCATTTGACTCGACCGGAAGGAGTAAATGTACACCATTTGTGAGTAAAATTACTCATCCATTGAGTAAAATTGTAAATTCATTTTACTCTGGACACTTCTTCAGTAAACCTACTCAAAAGTTTGAGTAAAACATCGTCTTTACTCAAAGACTGAGTAAACCAAATTATCATTACTCAGATGTCGAGTGACGTAAACTAACATTACTCATGGATTGAGTAAGAATATACCAATTTACTCATCGTTTGAGTGAAGTAAATTAGCCTTACTCAAGCTTGAGTAAAAGTATAGTAAATACTCATTGGATTGAGTAGAGTCAGTTAGCTTTACTCAAGTCTGAGTAAAGAGGTAAGAATTTACTCATCATTTAGCAGAGTATATACTGTAGATTAACTTTACACAAACTTGAGTAAAATATAACAATTGACTCGTCGTTTATACACAAAGTGAATTGGCTTTACTCGAGCCCAAGTAAAAGCGTAATAATTTTACTCATGATTTGAGTAAAGTTACTGTAATTATATAGCTTTGCACAAACTTGAGTAAATCGCTTGAGTAAAGGCAACAATGTAGCTTTACTCAAACCTGAGTAAAAATATAAAAAATACTAAAGTCATGCCATAAATATAAATGTAACAATCAAGCATGAGAAAAATTATACATCCAATTTTTTGACCAATTACAACAGTAATCAGTACAGTAATTAACACTCATCTGAAACAATGAGTGTATAGAGCCTCCTATATATTGTGATGAAATGAATGAGCCAATTTTGAAACAGAATATATTTTCAACGTGAACAGATTTTTAAATCTGTTAAATTCTTGACTATATATAGTCAAATTGTTATTCGTTAGCTGTTTACATTACTATGAATATGAAGCGAATATATATTTTTATATGAAACTTGCGGAATATAGGTTCCAACATCTGAGGGTCATGACGGCCATATTGTGTAACCTCATTATATTCAAATTTAGGAAGAAAGAGTCCACTGATCTATGTGGAAAAACACGTCCTTTCCGACCTGCAATAACTACTAGAAACTGTTTGAACTTCTTTAAACATGCTGACAACATCACAGCTAGTACATTTGTCTCACCAATATGGCCGCCATTGGCATTGTTTTTCATTTATGCATAGCAGATACACATTAACTGTATCAGTCCACTGCAGTTAATAGAATGGCATGGTTTGGACACTTGATAATAATACAATGCAACTCATTAACTATATACTGTATATTGGTCCACGTTTATCTAAAAGGTTTGTCTTTATTGATAAAATGTCTATTGTATTTTCCTCAAATCAGTCAAAGTTTAGTATTTGAATTAATACATTGTTCAAATCACTGATGAACAGCCAGGCCAAACTATTGCTATTGCATGGTTGATTTGGAGGGAAATATATATATATATACACTCTTAAAAATAGGTGTGCTAAACAACACACCTTGGTGTGTTATTTAACACAAAGGTGTGCTAAAATAGCACACAAGGTGTGTTTTCTTGTCACTGAACACACAAAGGTGTGCTACAAAACACACCAAGGTGTACTACAAAACACACCAAGGTGTGCTGAGCAGAACACAGTGTACGCAAAAGGTGTGTTCTGTAACACACCTTTAGCTAACACACCTTTCGAGTAAAGGTAAGGTGTGCTCAATTAACACACCTTTGAAAGATAACACACCTTTGGAAGATAACACACCTTTTAAAATAGCACACCTTTCTCCAATAACACACCTTTTTCTACTGACACATCTTTTTTTGTGCCCCAAAATAGCACACCTTTTTTCAATAACACACCTTAAAATAACACACCTTTGACGTTGTTAAATTAAGCACATCTTTTGGTAAAAGGTGTGCTTTTGTAACACACCTTCAAAAAAGATTTGCTAATTAAGCACGCCTTTTCAACTTACACATTTTTCATAAAGGCACAGAAATATCCCATGCAAGGATCTCTAACCTATATTCCAATCTACAGGATTTATTCATTCAAATACTGTAGAATTAGGGCGGTATTTGCTATACAAATTCGTATAGTGAAAGAGCTGCAATTTCGTGTAAAATCTGTAATTTGAACTTGTGGAATGTTCTGTTGGGAAATATAATTTGCGACAAGTGGAAGTTCCAGAATTTTAACTATTTTTCAACCAATTAACATGCTTAAAATATATCACGTGTTGTAGTAATTCGATCTGTTGATAACAAGCGCTAAGTTCGATCTTTTGAGAGCAAATATTCAAAGAGGAAAGGATTTTTATTCAAATTTTCTACTTAAAGTTCCAAAGACCTAATAAAATACATGGAATTTGTTTTCAAAGGTATGTCTATTGTGTATTTACTGTATAGTTACTTGATATACTGTATAGTTATGTTTTTAAATCGAAGGCTTGTATTTGTATTAATACTTTTTTACCGAAGGCATCTAAACGTTCAGTTGTAAATTTTCGATTAATTTCTATTAGCAGAAGTGTATAAATCTAATCTACACTCTACCTATCTGTGTTTTAAGAAAATGGTATAGCTTAGTTGTGTGATATACGTGTATGCTATATTTCCTGTGAAATATTTGCCATTTATAGTTGGCATGCATTGTATACTTACAAATCACATAAATACAATGTGGTTTGTTTGAAGTCAAATTAATAGCATATAGATAGCATTGTAATAGCCCATCTCCCAATATTACCCAATGTATGGCATGTGCTTGCTATGGTATTAAACCCTCCTATCGGTCACCCTAAAACATGTGTGAAGAGCTGCTTATATGGTCAAGAAAGCCAGCCCAGGTAGCCCGGCTATAGCTTGCTTTCCCTGGATGAATGTCTGTTTACATGAGCCTCTTTAGATGGACAGGCTCGCCAAATCGAATCAACCAGTCTGAGTTTTATAATAGAAGTACATTTTCCAATACGGTAACCAACATCACACTTTTGCAGACATTTTCGAAATGTACACTCTAAATCTCCGAGTGTTGTACTAACACCAAAAACGGTGTAAATTCCTGCCTCTCTATTTACACCAAAGTAAGTGTAAATTTACACATTCACAAGTGTTAATTTACACCAGTGAGTGTATTTTTACACCAAGTTGGTGTAAATTATCTTGCCTCGGTATTTACACCAAAAAGGTGTAAATTTACACTTGCGGTGTAAATATACACCAATGAGTGTATTTTTACACCAAGTCGGTGTAAATTATCTTGCCTCTCTATTTACACCAAAAAGGTGTAAATTTACACTTGTGGTGTAAATATACACCAGTGAGTGTATTTTTACACCAAGTTGGTGTACTTTCTCTTGCCTCTGTATTTACACTAAAAAGGTGTATATTTACACTTGTGGTGTAAAAATACACCAGGGAGTGTATTTTTACACTAAGTTGGTGCTAATACAGAAGAAACAGAAATTACACCAATTTGGTTTGAACTTAGGCCTACACTGGTGTTGTAAATATACACCAGGGAGTATATTTTTATGCCAAGTTGACTCAACATGAGTTCTGACTGAGAACATTTGCTTTCAAACAACAAGTTAATGAAATATATGTAATTAGGTTAAAAACAAACATTTTTGCACACTTATTTGAAATGGCATGCAGTTTCTTAGCAAGAAATACATGTAGAAAAGCTAACTTTATTACTTATATATAAAATAACTTGTTGCTTTGAAAGATATGTTTTCCAATTCATTCTTTCAAGACACTTGGAAACATTCGAAAGAGTGAATTGGACACAAACATGTCCCTCAACGCAACAAATATATTGAATTCTTTCCTTGCTTCAACCAAGAGAATTTCATATATGCACAGGGTATATACATATTTATAACATAAGTAACTTAATATTAATAGAAAAATTTACACTGTTACCAAGTGGGTTATAAGTCCAGGAAGTTAGCAAGTTCACATTTTTTCAATGTCTGACAATAGAACCAACACCTTGGGTCGGCATCTTTTGTGTGCCGTGCACCTTCATGACTTGCCTTTGTAGAAATAAGAATGTATTAAAACACTCAGCAGCAAAAAGCAGCATCATAGATTCCAGTGCATCAAGCAATCCCGAAGACTCACAAGACTTGGTTTTCTGCCACCATGGATGTCTCATCAGGTTGAGGGTTTCAGTTGTCAAGCTATAGCTGCAACATCATGGGCTACAGGTTCCATTCCTACCAGAGGGCCTATAGTTGGACTTTTTGCAACTGTAAACAAAATAGTAACAAAACTATTAATGAAGTTTCCTGGACAGATTTTGAGAGGGAAAAAATTATGAAAATCATTGTAAAAAGTGCAACTGCAATCCTAAGTCCAGCACTTCTACAATGCAGCCCACATGCCAAGTGCTAACCTCCAGAACAATATCAGAAAACATTTATTTCAAAAGTATATCATATCTATACAGGATTTTGTTTATGTATTTATGTAAACAATTACATAACTGATAAGTATTTAGTGTGTTAACATCAAGAGTGCAATGCAATATTGGATGTCAGTAATTTGGTAAAAAGCAATATCTTGGCGAAGTCAGATTCATGAACAAGGTTTTCGTTGGTATAGGAGAAACTCAATGTTTTGAGCAAAGGCCCTTTGTTGCCTTTGACTAACTTCCGATGAAGGACTTAATTCGCTCAAAACGTTGAGTTTCTCCTAATATTTTCAGCCAGTTGCATTCCTACCAATGAAAGCTTTGGTTATATTGCCACTACCTACTGGCACAGACAGTTCAAGATTAAAGTCACGGTCAGATAAATTATCTTACGAGTATTAAAATTTTAAAAATTGTTGGGGGAAACATGTTTCGGGGCTATAAGCAGACCCCTTTGGCACAAGGCAAGTTTTAGCTCACTGGTATTCATTAAAAATGTCGGTCAATAATATAGGCATGGAATAGCATAATAATTGGATCATTTATATCATAATAATTAGATCATATTATATGTACAGATAGAGGCTATTAAATAGTTTATTTTCCCCTTTAATAAAAAAAAAACATTGTAATGGTTGAGAAAAGTATTTGCAAATGTCCGATGTAAACTCAATTGAGTTTAGTAAGGTCAAAATGCATCATGGAGTCAGACCAAACAAAGGTTTAACCCATTGAGTGGCAGCACTCTCCCCCTGATGAGTAAGGTCATCAGGCATTAGAAAGAGTATTAAACTAGTCTGGTGTTAGACAGAGTAAAATAATAAAGTAGGGCGCATTGCCACTTAAAGGGTTAAGGTATTAAAATGCATTGCACAGGTACTAAAAAATACAATAACATACTCGGTTCACACAAACAAATGGTATCCCTATCCCATCAAAGAAAGTTACTCATGTGGCTAGGAAACTGAACTCTATGAAAGTAGGCGTTCAAGGTTCATGTAAAAATATATTCACTCATTAATTTGTTTGATGAGTAAAATTGTCTGGCATTAGACAGAGTAAAATATTAAAGTAGGGTGCATTTGGGCATATTGCAGCTGTTTACATAATTGCTACTAGCTGGAATGAGATGTATGCCCTGGAGGCAAAAATGTTCACAAGCAAATATTGGGAAAAGTTTACATCATGGACAACCGGCTGACCGGGAACCCTGTTCGAGTCTTGAAAGTGAGATACCAGGCTACCGGTACCAGCTAAACATGCTAGCCCAGTTTTCATGTGAAGTGAAATTATTTTGTATACAAAATTATTATAAAGCCGAACAGGGTTGATATAAACAGCTTTAACAATTGACAATTAGGCAGACTTTATCATTGGCAGATAATTTGGTTAATATTATAAATTGATCAGCAAGTTTTGCCTTGCTTGTGCTCATTTTGATTTTAAATATAACCTTAACCTTGTATAATAAATGTTTTAATATTGGCAAAGAATTGGCATAACATTTTCATTTAGATAGATAGATTACTGTTTATGATATACGGCCTGGCCGAATGATTATACAAAAGACAGAAATTCAGTCTACTGTATTCTGTATATTACAAATTAAAGATGCATAACTTGAATATCATACTTAATATAGCAAGATTCTCCGCTCAAAACTCTGGTCTAAAATATAATAACAAATATACTGTCATTTAGAAAACTATTATGAAAAATATCATCTGTAATACGAAGGATTTGGTCGGTATTAAATAGACTTTATACGCGTCTATGGCTCGGTCTATGATGTCTATATTAATTTTGCGACCAAATCTATCACAAATCACAATCAATTGAAGGTAAACAAATCGCTACAATATATAAAAACACTCACCAAATATTAAGCTTTATTACGAAAATACGATCCATTTAGTTCACCAAATAAAAGAGACTTCATATAAACATAAAATTATACAAAAAATCGGCAAAGCAGCTGACACACTTCTCGCCAAAAATTCAAATACAAAACATCACGCTCGATATATGGGGTGGACCTCTGCTATATTAAGGGGCGGTTCGGTGCGCTCAATGTATAACTGGAGTCATCATGTAAATCCAGTGAACTGAATATATACGGCTGCAAATTGTATTCTCGTCCCGCAGTACATTAGAAAGCGATACGATTTAGCTAATTATGAGAATTAGGATGTATATACTATATTACTGTATTCTGTTATTTGTATATATTCAGAGCTTTAGGTTGTAACTGATATGGCATGATATTTTCAACACATGGTGGACCATTTGTCGATATTTTTAAAGTATAAGATTTCATCAAAAGCTGGTTGACATTAATTAATAATAATATCGGCGTCAACAATTTTTGTGCAGGCTGATGTTCCATTTAAGGACAAAAATGTCATACTCATCTTTACACCAAAGTAGTGTTTTAATACACTTAAATAGTGTTAAGTTACCGACTTCTGGTGTAAATTTACACCGATTTAGTGTTAAAAGACTAAGATACAACTTTACACCAAATAAGTGTTGGGGTAACACAATATCAGTGTAATAATACACCTCGAAGTGTAATTTTACACTTCCGAGGTGTAATTTACCAATTTACACCGAAATAGTGTAAATTTACACCTATTTGGTGTTCACTGAACACTTCAGAATTTAGAGTGTAACTGATAAAAACAATTACCGAGATATTTTAACCCTTTAAGTGGCAATGCGCCCTACTTTATTATTTTACTTTGTCTAAACATCGGACAATTTTACTTGTCAGGAGGAGAATCTGTCCCTCAATGGGTTAATCAGACTATCTGGCCTTAAATTAAAGATGCCCAGATTTTTGCGGCACTAATCAGGCAACTTGCCCAATCGGGCAAGCAAGATAAAACATTTACTTGCCCGTCATGAATTTCACTTGTCTCGGGCAATTAGTGGCCAAGTGTTAAGTTACACCTCTGCTCGCTTTGTACACTGGAAAAAAAACAAAAATAGCAAATTTATTGTCACTCAATAATTTGCTTCTGTTATATATCAATCTTGTATATTTTTTCTTAATAGTGGTTGTATTTAATATGGATTCATTATATCCTGTGATGCTGAATGAAAAGTTATCGAAGCATCCCAGGAGAAGGCAAGTCATCTAAACAAGTGGCAATATAATCATTAATGGCATTCTAAGTACTTCATGGTCTATTTGGAAAATGTTATTCTTTTGCTGGAGAGCATGTTTACGGATTACCAAACCATGCAAGGAAAGGACTAGGAGTTGCCGACTGGTGGTATAGTACAGCTTGTTTTGTACTAAAATTTAACTAATGGACTTGCACGACATTAGACATAATATATATGCTTGATTGAGCACTGACACTACATGCAGTGTATTTTACTTGTAATTCAAAATTGAACAGAATGTTTAACCCTTTAAGTGTGCTCTACTTTATTATTTTATTATTTTGTGTCCAATGCAAGGTATGCTGCCACTCAATGGGTTAAAGTCTTTCTGTAGATGGAAATATTGAACAATAACTATGTAATAGCTATTGTGCCGGGAATGAAACCCCTGTGATTCGGATCAGCTCCTCAATTGCAAAGAGTCCATCAAGCCCCAAGAGTCAATGAAGGTCACCAAGAGTTTATGTATATAATACTGATACCAGTTAACTTAATATACTACCACTGACACCACCATTTAATGGTTTATATACAGTATGTACAGCAACTTGTGGTGACCTCTTGGGAAACAGACACTTTAAGTCAGAGGGCAGCAGTAGAATTGCAGGGCTGTAGGTTCAGTTTATGCTGGCAGACTTGCAATTGCTATCTGAGTTATTTGAAGTGTGTTTGTTTACCACAACCAGGTATATCAATTGTGTTTTTCGCTTGCTACTTTGGATTAAATAAATAATTACAAAGCCCGGTGGAATTGTAATCAAGACCCAGCGTTTAGACACTCCAGTCTAGTGTCTTCTTTAGGAGTGATCTAAAGTTGTAATTGTGGCTTCTTAAATACCCAAGGGATGACATCACCTGCCAATAAGATGCATGTATTCCTCTGGCAAATAGGCACCGTCATCCCTATTCACAGCATAATTACTCATATTTATATGCCATGCTTCTAGGCATAGTCTTTGACCATGATAGCGATTGTTTGTGGTAATTACTTTAGATTTTTCCGACACAATCTCGTGTTTGGTGCCACACACATGTTCTGATAAAGCTGATTTTCCCTTGTTTTAAAGTTGAAACAGCCTTTTGATGTTCTTTTAGCCATGTACCAAACTAGTGTTAAGACTGACCCAAATACTCTTTTTCGCAGTCACCGCATGGTATAGAATATACAGCATGAGTTTTCTGATTTGTTTTAACAGGATCTTTTGGCTTTGCGAAAATATGGCCTAAAGTCAAATACGGTTTTAAGGCAACATTAATATCATATTACATGCATCTCATTGGCAGGTGACGTCATCCCTTGGGTATTTAAGAAGCGACAATTGCAACTTTAGATCACCCCTGATGAAGACACTAGACTGGAGTGTCAAAACGTTGGGTCTTCATTACAATTCAACTGGACTTTGTAATAATTTATTTAAACCAGAGTAGCGAGCGAAACATGCTCCCAGTTAGTTCTATGAAACACATGTTAACTGACTGTACAGTTTCCATTTGAAATGTCCATCTACAAAAACCCATGATCAGTCTGCTATTATTGCCTTGCTAGAGTAGGCTGTTGATTGTCTCCTATATTTAATATTGGCTATTTGCAACATCCTGCAATCCATCATATTATACACATCCAGCCATGATATCATCAATCAAACTTTGAACTTAGAACTGCATTCAAAGAATGTTATCGAGCGTAAGAATATATCATTATATGCTAAAGCAAATTGTATTTCCTGTTACAATACTGTATACCTTGTATATAGAGGGATAATAAATTATTTTGACTTCAGGAGGGCTATTATAGCATGCATGATTTAAGGAGCAGCAACTCAGCAAGGGGCTCATTTTGGGGGCATTCCTCGCATGTTCCGCTGCATGTACTCACATGCATGTTTACTATTCCAAAATGTTTCATGGTTTTATTGTGAAATTAAAGTTATTACAAAGATCGACGTGATTTAGTTATATTATATATATAGGATTGAGTAATATAACTTCGTTAAATTTCATTGAAATAAATTTTATTCAAGTGTTTGATTTATGGCTATTGGTGAATATACTTTTCAAGACTGCATGCATGCACAAGTTAGGTAACGCGTGTTAATTTAATTTGCTTTTCACTGACAATTTGAGTGAAAACTGTCGGTTTGTTTACTGATTTCAGTAAAGTGATGTTGTACTCAAGAATTTGAGTCACTGTGCGTGAATTTGCTTTACTCATAAATTTGAGTATTTTTTACTCACAATTTGAGTAAAGTAATGTTTTACTAAAAAATTCGAGTCACTGTCGGTGTGTTTACTTTACTCACACATTTGAGTAGTTTTTACTCACAATTTGAGTAAAGTGATGTTTTACTCAAAGATTTGAGTCACTGTGGGTGCATTTGCTTTACTCAAAAATTTGAGTATTTTTCACTCACAATTTGAGTAAAGTGATGTTTTACTCAAAGATTTGAGTCACTGTGGGTGCATTTGCTTTACTCATAAATTTGAGTATTTTTTACTCACAATTTGAGTAAAGTGATGTTTTACTCAAAGATTTGAGTCACTGTGGGTGCATTTGCTTTACTCAAAAATTTGAGTATTTTTTACTCACAATTTGAGTAAAGTGATGTTTTACTCATACATTTGTGTAACTGTGGGTGTATTAGTTTTACTCAAAAAGTTGAGTTAATTTGCTCACTAAGTTGAGTTGTTTTACTCAATATTTTGAGTCACTGTGGGTGCATTGTTTTACTCATATTTTTGAGTCAAAATACTCCGGTATTTTTTGCAGTGTGGCAAATGAATCCAATGGCCCAACATATTCTACGTAGTTTGTCAAAGCTGTTAGGACAGTTGGGTGCATTTTGAAGATGTGATGTGCCTTTCTATATTTTGCTTTTACCGCGCGTAAGAAAATTGCAGTGCGCACTCAACTTAAATTAGCTCCATGCACTGGTTTTCATGCCCTTAATTTTATTTAGCATGCAAGTTAGCGCGCGCTTAATTTTAATACGCATGAAACTTTTTAATTGGCTTGTTGGAAAAACCTTGTTGATCTTATCAGACTTGTAGCAAGATTGTTCCAACAAGTCCGATACAGTCATGAAGTTAACAATATTGTTACAACCTCGTGTGATCAACCTTGTAACATTTTTGTTATATCGTGATTCCATAAGCTTTGTTGGAACAACCTTGTAACAAGTCTGATAATGCCATCAAGTTTGTTACAAGTTGCTAACAGCTTGTTGATATTATCAGACTTGTAGCAAGATTGTTCCAACAAGTCCGATACAGTCATGTATGATATAACAGTATTGTTACAACCTTGTCAGATCAACCTTGTAAAATTCTTGTTATATCATGATTGTATCTAACTTGTTAAAACAATCTTGCAGCAAGTCTGGTAATGCCATCAAGTTTGTTACAAGTTGTTAACAGCTTTGTAACAAGCTTGTTGATCTTATCAGACTTCTAGCAAGATTATACCAACAAGTGCGATACAGTCATGATATAACAATATTGTTACAAACCTTGTCGGATCAAACTTGTAAAATTCTTGTTATATCATGATTGTAGCTTACTTGTTAGACGAACCTTGTAGCAAGTCTGAGAATATCATAAAGTTTATTACAAGTTGTTAACAGCTTTGTAACAAGCTTGTTGATCTTATCAGACTTGTACCCAGATTGTTCCAACAAGTCCCATACAGTTATAATTTAACAATATTATTTAAAAACTCATTAATAATTCATGAACCAATTATCCAATCTTGAGTAAGAAATTAGTCACGTGCATACGTCTTTATACCAGCTAAAGAACACTTTAACAAAAGACCATTGTTATGCAAACTATATAAAGATTTTTATATAAAGATTTTTATATCAAGATTTTTATATCAAGATTTTTATATAAAGATTTGACATATTATGCATACGTTTTTGAAGCCATTTAAAAAACTCGCAGGTCGTGTTTTATTAGGTCTAAAGCCACTCGCGCTGCGCGCTCGTGGCTTTAAACGTAATAAAACACTCCTGCTCGTTTTTTAAAACTCATTAATAATTCATGAAGAAAACACAAAGAAAAATCATAAGCGTGTCGTATCTGTATATGTGATACAGATTCATGTTGATTTACATAAACTTTAACTTTGATTTTCTCGGCTTAGACAACGTTTATTTTTAAAATTACTTCGCCAATGAACTCATAAGATGAGTCGTTTTTTAAGTCATTTACAACATTCGCGTCCGTGTTGTATCGGATATACAAACTCTCGCCTTCGGCTCGAGTTTGTATATCCGATACAACACGGCCGCTCATGTTGTAAATAGTACATATATATAGCCTATATATATATATATATATATATATATATATATATATATATATATATATATATATATATATATATATATATATATATATATATATATATATATATATATATATATGTATATATATATTATATGTATATATATATGTATATATGTTCGCTTACCTCAACAGTCTGTTTCATCAGTAAAAAATCATCAGGCGGTATATGATATACCGCCTGATGATTCTTTACTGATGAAACAAACTGTTGCGGAATTTTGAGGTAAGCGAAATTCTACATTTGCTCTATCTTTATGATATTGAGCACTCTTTGCGTTTCGTATTCATAAACCTACTCGTACATTCGCACCCGTATATCGGTCGTGCACTCTAGTTTACGTTTCTCATTTCTTACTAACTTCATAATGCGACAATTTCGATTTGACTATTCGTTAAAGAGTATTCCTATACCATCGCAGGACGCTTATTTGAAGAATTTGATTGAAAAAGTGGAAAGTGTAATAAAACGTATGAGATGGAAAGCTCATTTCTTTAATAAAAACAGTATCAACAAGAACCAAAACAACCATTTCGGCCTTGCGTCCAACAAAACACCTCCTTCGATTCCGGAAATGAAACCTTTCGAAACCGACCTTATAAAACTCATCGAAAATATACAATTTCGATCAGGGAAAAACCATTTTCAGAAATCTTTGGCTAACGATTTGAAGAAAATTAATTCATCTCCCAACACTTTCATTTTTGCAGACAAAACTAGAAATATTTATGAAGCCTCGCTCGACACATACAACAAGCTCTTACATGACAACATTACAAAAACATATAAACATGGATCCGAGGACACTATAGACGAAATTGACTCTGAACTAAAAGACATTTCGAACAATTTAGGAATCGGCGACAGAATTGAAAAAATGAAAAAACGTGAAGCATTTATATATTTAAAAGACCACAAAGAAAATTTCGAGAACAATCCAAAATGCCGGCTAATTAATCCCGCAAAAAGCGAATCAGGAAAATTGAGCAAAATTATTCAGTTTAGATGAAATTAATTCCAATTTGAGACAAAAACTGAATTTGAACCAGTGGAGAAATACAAAACAAGTAATTGAATGGTTTGGAAATATAAAAGACAAAGAAAGACATAGTTTTATTTCGTTTGACATCGTTGAATTTAAGATATACCGCCTGATGATTCTTTACTGATGAAACAGACTGTTGCGGAATTTTGAGGTAAGCGAAATTCTACATTTGCTCTATCTTTATGATATTGGGCACTCTTTGCGTTTCGTATTCATAAACCTACTCGTATATATATATATATATATATATATATATATATATATATATATATATATATATATATATATATATATATATATATATATATATATATATATATATATATATATATATATATATATATATATATATATTAAAGTTGCAGGCTTGCAGCAGGACTTATCGACATTGGAAAAATGGCAGCATACTTGGCAAATGAATTCAACCCCAAAAAGTGCTTCATAAATTAATGTGTATTTCAAATCGGCGTCATCCTCTTCGTATGCAATATACTTTTTGCAACATAACCCTAAATTATGCATGTTGACACCCATCCTTATTTAGGAGTGACAATATAGATATATCCGCGACACTGCTCCTAAGACCTCACAAATTCTAAGAATGATTAAGCAAAATTTCTGGTTTTGTAACGAGGAGGTTAAAGGCACTCTGTACAAGGTATTGGTCCGTCCCAAGTTAGAATATGCATCTTCTCTATGGGATCCAGATTATGCGTGTCACCGTTGATAAACTGGAGAAAACCGAGATCCGCTTTTGCAAAGGAGATTTGAGACGGACTGCAAGTGTTACTGCCATGATAAAGGACCTTGATTATGAAACCCTGACTTGTCGTTGTCAAATGAACCGCTTGGCAAATTTGTATAAGATATCACATAATTTAATTGAGATGGATACGGGAAATTCCATTAAGTTTGCACTTGAGCAACGAACCCGTTGAACTTTAAATATGTTATAGAACATTCGAACAAGGCCTAGATTCCCATAAGTTCTCTTTTTCCCTAGAACAATTATTTTTTATTTTATTTTTATTTTACAGATTTTGCCATTTAACACAAACTATTACACAAAATTAGTTAACACAAACTATTACACACAATAGATTACATGGCTGGAATTACCACACAGAGATTAGTTCTCCAATAACGGGGTTCCAAGACATTCGAAATACACAGAATGAACAATAACAGGCTTGCAGACCGACAGACAGACAGACAGACAGACAGACAGACAGACAGACAGACAGACAGACAGACAGACAGACAGACAGACAGACAGACAGACAGACAGACAGACAGACAGACAGACAGACAGACAGACAGACAGACAGACAGACAGACAGACAGACAGACAGACAGACAGACAGACAGACAGACAGACAGACAGACAGACAGACAGACAGACAGACAGACAGACAGACAGACAGACAGACAGACAGACAGACAGACAGACAGACAGACAGACAGACAGACAGACGTGAAGATCAACAAACAAGCACAACGAATTACAATCAACGACTTACAATTTATGTGACAATAAATTTAACAACATGCTCGATTCGACAAGTTAGTCAATGGGCGAGTTGAATGACACTTCACACAAACAGACTTAAATGTTCTCGGATCCTCGGGTTTATAAATTTCCTTGGTGAGATACTTATAATGTTGCATTAAACAAAATTTGAAAGAGACCAAGGTTTTGTTGGTTTCTCTGATCAAACAGGGGAGTGTATTCCACACGTTGGCAACTCTGACGTAGAAGCTGTTTTGGTAGCTCACTGTCTTGCACTTGGCTACTTCAAGTAAGATACCATTGGTTGCATTAGTACTTCGTGTTTCTCGAGTAGGAATTTTGATAGAAATGTTACTGTCAGAGTTGGAAATGATGCACTTGTAGAGATACACTAGATCTAAATACTCGTGCCAGTAACATATAGGGATGATGCCGATGGTGGTCAGTCTTTCCTGGTATGATATATCGGTTTGGTACGGCAATGACAAAATAAATTTGGTGGCACGTCGCTGCACACGTTCAACGGTCAGGATGTTGTTTACCGTCTGGGGTGCCCATACCTGACTACCATAAGCCAGCTGACTACGAACCGTTGTCAAATAAAGTACCTTACGAACTCTACGTTGGCGAATGTCGAACGCCGTACGCTTTACGAAACCTAACATTTTATTTGCTTTGGTCGATATCTCTTGCACCTGTTTGTTCCATTTAAGGTCGTTAGTGGTAGTTATGCCAAGATCTTTCTGACTGGATGATTGTAGGACTGGAGTGTCTGATATTGTGTACTGTGTGATCATCGGTTGAGCAATTCTTGAGAAATGCATGACTACACACTTGGTTTGGTTTAAGTCCATCCTCCAGTCATTACACCAGTTGGCAACACTATCCAGGTCTTGCTGCAGAATTATGGTGTCTTGGAAATTTCGAAGATGACGGTGACATTTTGTGTCATCAGCGAACATTGACAAGGTAGTATCGTGCGAGGTAGACATAGGAAGGTCGTTCACGTAGATGAGGAAAAGGAGTGGTCCAAGGATTGATCCCTGAGGAACTCCAGAAAGCACTGGAAGTGGTTCAGATGTTACACCAAGAACAGTGACTCTCTGTAATCGCCCAGAAAGATAGTCCCCGAACCAGCGAAGAAGATTTCCTCTGATGCCAAAATTGTGAAGCTTCACGAGTAAGAGATCATGGCTGACTTTGTCGAAAGCTTTCGCGAAATCAAGATAGATAGTGTCAACTTGGCCCCTTTTCTCTAAGACATTATGAATCTCGTGAAGAACATAAAGCATCTGGGCAGTTGTAGACTTGCCGCTTTGAAAACCGTATTGAAGATCATAAAGTTGACTTGAGAGGTGGCCAATAATTCTATTGTAGATGCAACGTTCAAACACCTTGGAGACCAGCGACAAAAGTGATATTGGTCTATAGTTGCAGACTTCATGGAAAGGACTTTTCTTTGGAATTGGACTGATATTAGACAACTTCCACTCCAACGGCAGTTTTCCACAAGATAAACTCTTGTTGAAAAGTTCGCATAAAGATGGACTAATGTTAGCTGCGCAGGTTTTTAGCAATACCGCCGGGATTTTGTCAGGACCAGTGGCTTTGTCTACGTCGAGAGTTTTAAGTACACAACAAACTTCTCCTTCAGCTAACTCGAGATCTGAGATGGTTATTACATTAATCGAATCGTCGTCAGCAGGAAGAGGGCTGTGATGAGCGGCATCACATGGTTTAAACACAGAGTAGAAGTAGCGATTTAGCAGGTTAGCTATGTCGATTGGATTTTCAGCTGTTGTGGGAGAAGAGTCTTGTTGGGTCCATGTCATTTTTCCAGGAATGTTCGAGCGTTTGGAAGTAAATAAGAGAATGGAACAAGCTTCCGAATGATTTAGTTAATGCTAGCTCGCTACCTCTTTTTAAGGTGAAGTTAAGACTACATTTGCAGGACTAATTTTTAAAACGTTTTGTAAATTATATTTTATATAGGATAATTTTTTTAAAATTTTCTTTTAATTTATGTTGGCGTGATAACTGTACATTGATATTGTATATAGTTCTTTGCCGACTTAATAAATGTAGATCTTACAGGAACGAGACGCAAGAAAGTCACTTTTGACCGCCAACCATCTTGAGATTTCCAGTATCAGTCGCACAGACCTTTTCGCGGTGTTTGCAGTAAATAAATATATACAATAAACTGAGCTCCATTGTAAACCCATTGAATGAATGCGTATAAACTATTATGTGGATATAAAGATTTAGTTATTATTCCACTAACAAAAACGAAATTAAAGACTTACCAACGTGGTGTACGTGGTGGAATAAGGTTTAATGAATTAACATTCAGTTTTTACATGTTAAAAAGGGTTCGTATTTTCCATCGTTTTTCTATCTTTTCCACCGTTTATCCACCTTTTCTAACGTTTGTCCGGTGTCAGTTGTCATGTGCCCAGTCCGCGTAACAAATTCTCAGTATGGTTGGGATCATCACTGGGGATTGTTACTCCCTCCAGAAAAGGCCCTGGGAACGAGGTTGAGGGGTTTACAACTTTCTGTAAATTCCGGGAGATTTGAAAATACGGAAAAAGCCACGAAATTTACGGAAACGTCTGCGGAGGATTGTTAGTTTGAGTATGATACGTGACCACCTCACGTAAATAAGGTTTGATCGCAATATGTATTGTGCGCGGTCACTAATTCAATATCAGAAAAGTTAACAAATGAACACAACCCGCCAAATTCGATCGCGCATCTCATGATTGGCGAGCTTTGTTCAGTTGAATTACTATAATCAGACCGTGCCTAAATGTAAACTAGGGATCCAAGGATAGTGTGAAGTTTCAAATTGAAAAAGACACTGCAAGAACTATATAGGTTCGCTGACAACCTAGAAAAGCTGATCGATGGCTTACATTACGAAATAAGCAATTACCAAAGGCATTTCATCTCATTATCTATTGCTTCTAATGCGCTCGGCACACGAGTAGCGTGACGTTTGAAACAAGCCTAACACATCAGAAACGTGCCTTGTGAAACTGACATAATTTATCTATTTATTGTGATGCTACACGCATGCTAAATTTTAATTGTTTCACCAACAACCAAATTTTGCATATTCTAAATTTTCATTTGCATTTGTATTTGCAGCTGTCGCTAAAAGCATCCCCACGAGGCTACTGCTATGCTAAACTTATCTAAAACTATAATTGAAATAGCTGTATACAATATGTTATGAATTAATAAGCACTTTATCTTCATCCGTTCCGTATTTTATCCGCATATCCGTTCCGTATTTTATCCGCATATCCGTTCCGTAGATCCGCTCCATCCGCTTCCGCATTTTAACCTAATTGTGACATGTTTCACAATAACAAATCTAATTGACCTTTGACTTTTCGAAGGTTACGTTGTGTCTATTTTGAGCTTTTCGCATGTGTTGAATAATGTCACTTTAGATTTCAATAGTTTCACAGTTATAGCTGCAGTGTTTAAAGCAGTTTTGACAAGCTTTGATACAGTTCTGTGTACAGAATACTACAGATTGATTCTGGTAAGATCTGGTAGAGTTTATCGTTGCACTGAACACGAGTTTGCACCGTTGACAACGGCGTTGTGCTAGACAGTAAACAAGGTCTGTGACAGTACACGTTGGCTACATGTACCTCCTTGCTTTTTTCTTCCATTGCATAAATCTGGCATGTTGTAAAAGACGGACTGGACTGGACTGGACTGGACCGGACTGGACTGGACCGGGAAAACGCGGACTGAGTCCGTGTTTTACAAATCGTGGACTGAATTTGTAAAACACGGACTGGACTGGACTGGACCGGGAAAACACGGACTGAGTCCGTGTTTTACAAATCGCGAACTAAGATTTGCAAAACGCGGACTGAGTCCGTGTTTTACAAATCGCGGGCTGGAATTTGTAAAAGGCGGACTCATTTACTGAATGCACTAAGGATGAACGGTCGCAGTAAAGTATTGTCTATTCTTATGACAAAGTTCAATGTTTTTACCGAGAAACTTCAATGTTTTTGATGATTATTTATGACCATTTGGTGGCTTCAAAGCTTGGATCTGGTTGTTCAACAGATTAACATCAGATCAGAACCTGTCAAGTGCTCTTGACAAACATCGAAGATTCTCACGCGAATAGGCAATGTTTTTATCAACGACCGTTCATCCTGCAAGCGACGGTACATGGACTCAGTCCTGTACTGACTCAGTCGTAAAAGTTTTGGCGGGAATTGCACTCAGTCGTGAGAGTTTTGGCGGGAATTGCGGATATTAATAGGTTGGTCAAGGAATAATCTATTAATCATATCCTGGAGCTAAGGTTGGTAAAAATTACTATTATTTATTGTTTTGAATAAATCAAAGATTTTAAATGATAGAATGTTGAGTTAAGTAATTTACAGGGCTTTCAGAGGGAATTTATAGAATTTATATTGGTCCAAAGATAAGGGTTTAAGCCATGTTTTAACAGGAATTGATCGAGTTAGCTAATTTGTTTATTTTGTGTTCGTGGCGAAGAGTTTTCAAACGTTTTCACCCGTTTTCAAAATTACGCGATCAAGGACGAAAATGCTAGAGTTGACATGTCAGTTTTATGTCATTCGGTCACGAACTACACGAAGTTTAAACTTTGAGTTTTGCGGTTCCTTGTCGATGTATATGCTTTGTATGCTTTATATAAACAGGCTTACAATGATTTCAAGATATTTTTAGTGGGAATTATTGTAAAATTTAAGCACAAACAAAATCATAACATCACCGTCAGGGATGCCCGAACCACAGGTGCAGCGGGTGCAAGTGCACCCCTTGCCTTTTGCATTTTCAACTTTGTGGGTGCAGTGCGGGTGCAGACTATGGGTGTATCGGGTGCACAAAACTTTTACAGCAGACAGAATTAAACGTCGCTTGAGGATGTATGTGGGGGTGCTCCACCCCGCAGTCGTCAGGAATTCGGCAAAGTTCAGTGTTATCCATTTGGCGAAAGGTGAAACGGAAAGCATTACTTATGGAATTTTTATTGAAGCATTATGGAGGAATTGTGCCTAAATAATTGTATTCGGTCCGAAAAAAATTGGTGACGGGGAGGGAGGTCGACACGAATGTTGGATCATGACGCCGTTTCATTTTCATTGGTACCCTTTTGTTATGGAGTATGCCCTTTTGTTAACCAATTGCACCCCTTGCCCTCAGCAACTTCCAGTATCCCTGATCACCGTTCTAGCGCGCGTATTTTATACTGACAGCTATATTCCAGGATAAATTGCAACCACGAGGTTGGATAAATTGTTATTTTTCAAACTTTAAAAGTTATTCACGACACATATTTCTGTTGTGATGGTTTGTATTGTGCTTGTATTTAACTCATTTTTGTTCAGTTTTGGTATTAAATACGGTTTAAAATGTCTTTTGACAGTTTGTTTACGTTTGCTATTTTTAGCAGTTTTTGTGACATAAAATTGACATTTGAAGTAAAGAGAATTTTTCAGGGAGGTCGCGTAATTTTGAAAACGGGTGTAAAAGGGTAGAAAAGAGTGTCTATAAATTTGCGATAAATATGCGAAATGAATACTATAATCGAATAACGATTTTTAGAAACTTCCTCGTATGACAACAATAAAAGTTAAGAAATTTCATATTTCTTGCAAATTTGTAGACACCTTTATTTAATACGCCCTCTTCGCCACGAACACAACTGAATAAACGAATTAACTCTATTTTCTTCTAATTATGATTAACACTAAATGGTATCTGCTATAAGAGCTAGCCTATATCTATACAGGCATACAACTATTTACATGAAACGGCCACACTTGATATACGCATGAGTTTCCTCGACAATAGTGGCACAAAGTCCCACATGGTTGAGCGTGCTCCTAAGATTGAACGCTGTTCATCAGTTTATTTCAAACAATAAATAAATAATAGTAATTTTTACCAACCTTAGCTCCAGGATATGATTATTCCTTGACCGACCTATTAATTATCCGCAATTCCCGCCAAAACTCTCACGACTGAGTGCAATTCCCGCCAAAACTTTTACGACTGAGTCAGTACAACAGGACTGAGTCAATGTACCATCGCTTGCAGGATGAACGGTCGTTGATAAAAACATTGCCTATTCGCGTGAGAATCTTCGATATTTGTCAAGAGCACTTGACAGGTTCTGATCTGATATTAATCTGTTGAACAACCAGATCCAAGCTTTGAAACCACCAAATGATCATAAATGATCATCAAAATCATTGAACTTTCTCGGTAAAAACATTGAACTTTGTCATGAGAATAGACAATACTTTACTGCGACCGTTCATCCTTAGTGCATTCAGTAAATGAGTCCGCCTTTTACAAATCGCAGCCCGCGATTTGTAAAACACGGACTCAGTCCGCGTTTTACAAATCGTAGTTTGCGATTTGTAAAACACGGACTCAGTCCGTGTTTTCCCGGTCCAGTCCAGTCCAGTCCGTGTTTTACAAATTCAGTCCACGATTTGTAAAACACGGACTCAGTCCGCGTTTTCCCGGTCCAGTCCAGTCAAGTCCGGTCCAGTCCAGTCCAGTCCAGTCCGTCTTTTACAACATGCCCAATATTCACGTCTGAAATGTTTATACATCTAAAAACAACAGCATATCGTCACGCCATCGTGATCTACGGCGTGATAGCGCATGCGCATTTGCGCTAATAAAGAAAAATCGGGTGTTCCGGGGTAAAGATCCTTTACACAACATGAGAAGCGAATGTTCTAAAATTTACAAAAAATTACAATAACGATTCCTCGAAATTTTTGTGAACTTGCAGGCAAAAGGATAACAGAATATGTAAATAAGTTAACTGAAATTGCTTAAATAACCTTCAAAGTACTAACAAAGCACAATAAATCACTACGAACATAAATCGTATACACCCCCCGGAAAGTTTACTGTATGACTCAATGAATGAATGACTGACTGACTGATTCGTGTGAATTTCCCCCAAGTCATCACAATACTGTGAAGTTTCGAAGAAACTTCACACTAAAAACTATTGCTATCAACCTTTTTTGCGTGATGTGATCGCGTATTCAGAGGCGTAGCCACGGGGTGGGGTGGGGGGAGGGGGTCGGACCCGCCACATCAAACATACCTAACAAAAACCTCCCACTTTTTCGTTTATTTGATTGTGCAACCAGATATCTGATTTTTGTGGGCTTAACATAGAACTGCGGGAATGCATGGAGGGGAGGGTGCGCTACGCCTTTTTTATGTCCCATAGTTTTTGGCAAAGATTGTAGATAGTTGAGGAGTGTGAATTGTGACAGTGTGATACATGAGAAAGGTGGAGGTACTGTCGTCGAAGGTACAAACTACAGTACCAAGGAAACATTGCAATTTTGAAATATATTTCGCACCAATGGTTCGACGATGGGATAATTTAGGTGAAGAAAACAGTCAAGATGTTTCATAGACATATAAATTAAGATACATATAAGATTTATATAATATAAGTCACAAGAAAATGGACATATTTTAGTTTAGTTTAAAAACTATCTATGCTTACATGCGCAGGCAACTTACACCAGGCAAGTGCATTTCTCTGCACACATAATTCCAGTATCAAATTGCTGTTCTGACTGGCTATAGGCGTTTTCTTCAGAACTATTGATGTGCTGTTGAAGTAGGAACTAAATGCAACCCGTTTCCATGCAATTACGTTTAAGGACGTCTTCCCCCAAGCCTTGGCCACTGAAAACGCCCAAAATATGCGGGAAACTAACAGACATCACCGTTTTAATGGTAAAAGAGAAGTTCTTTGTATATTGTGGTGAAAATGAAACATTTGAAAAGCACTGGTTAATTTCCTGGTTAAATTATAAATAACACTATTTGGGTTTTTTACTGGTTTACTTTCCTTCATTTTATTTACCTTTAATTTAATTTAAACAGGACTAACCAAGAATTCGGCCAGGTATGACCACGACTACCGGCTATACTATAGAATTTAACACCATTCTGGTTGGGATTAACCGTCGAAATGAAACGAATAATTGATTCTAACATTTTTGTCACCATAAATTTTTCTACTTCAACCACGCACAAAAATATACTGGTAAACAGTTATTTAAGAAAACAATGGTACTCCTTAAAGCACCCTATATAGCATACAGAACATTACACATCATAAATACGCACCAGGGGTATTCATGTATGTTTTGATACCAGTGAGAGGCAACTTCAATTAGCTTAACATCAACAAAACTACCATGATATTAACTATAGTATCACTTGTGGCTTGCCCGCACTCACTTTACGTCTAGCTTATGATCACATACTGTGACTTGACATTTTTTAAATATTACAGTCTGCACACAGGCTAACAAAGTAGTGCACTTATTATCACTTTATATACAGCCTATATATGCACTGTTTAGACTTAATTTAGGCATAATTGGTTCAGAATGTCGTCAATTAATTTGTAATTCAGTACACAAAAAAATATTTGGCAACGAACAGAATGATCCATAGCGAGAAACAAGGCACTAGAAAACTGTTGATACATGTAATCATCGCGTTGAACGTACAATCATGTGCTCAACTAGGGCGCTATAAAACCCAGGTTCAACACAGTACGCCGTACACCGGCCGTAAAATGGCCGCGACAAACACAGTGATACCTCAGTTCTCAGTATGCTATATAATATACATTACTATACCAGACAATCGAGAGAAATTGACTGGAGCCGCCAATCGTCGCTCGCGACATCCGTGATATGGGCTATAATAACCCTATGAAAACCAACCTTGTAACTTATTACATGTTAGGTGGATTATTGACCAGGAATTCTTGGTTAATAGTCCATTTAAAATAATCTGGTTAATTCAACCATATTAATGGCATATAGCCTGGTTAAATTAGTGATCTAATTAACCAGGACTGTAGTTAAATTAACCAGGAAATTTAATTATTAAGTTACCCCAAACAGGGTTAATTTTAGATTAACCAGGAAATTCTTAACCATGGTGTTTTTATAGAATGTTGTTATTGGCGAAGCAAGTGTTGCAAATTAACACTGTACAATTTGAAAGCAAATGTTTTACACAAGATTATAAAAAAACCTGACTACTCAATAACAAAGATACGAAACGATTAATTGTACGCTGTTCAGTTTTCCGTTTCAATACAAATTAGTATCACGAACGGCAACGCGCAAAACAATGGCGTTTTCAGTCCATTTCTCTCGACTGTTTACGATTACACTAAATCATTACAATTGAAATTATATATACAAAAAGAATATCATCTTATGGCAATCCTCAACGTCACAGTAATGGTTTGGGGGACTTTAGAAATTGGTCGTATATAGTTTAGTATGATTTCTTTGGAAGAATAAATATAAAAACATATAGTTTATACTAATAATCACTAATTCAAAATTCAGGTTTGTTCCAACAATTTGTCCGGTACAACAAGTGGTCTAGTTGTAATATATATATCTGTGATATACTAACATATAGAGTTTGCTGCAGTACACAAACTAAATTCTGATGTCTAAATTAAAGTCTAGGTCATCTACATGCATTGTCATAATTATTCTAAGAAATCGTAATTATAATTTACATTAAGCTGCATGCATAGCATCACATACAGTGTATTACCCATGTTCGAAATATTTTACATTAAAACTAACCTCATAAAACTGAGGATTGAAGTACATCTACTGTACCACCACAAAACAAAGACGTTCTGCCATCGATTCAGTCTCCCCCACCGTACAATTATCATACTTGTTATATCTGAATGTGTTTGCAGGCCACTGTGATTACTTGTGCCAGGAAAGATCGACGACTTAACTCATAACTGGTCTTTGAAAATCAAGATTGAGAAAACCACATCAGTGACGCTTCATGTGCAATGACAAATGATCAGATCTTGAAAAAGATCGTTCGCAGTGCGGGCATTTGAACGGTTTGGCTCCGGTATGTTTACGGAAATGTCTGGTAAGTTCATCCGACCGGGCAAACCGCCACGTACATCCTTCCCATGAACATTTATACGGTTTTTCTCCGGTATGTGTCCTGCGATGTGCTTTGAGATGTGAACTTTTTGTGTAGACTTTACTGCAGCCTGCAAAATCACATTTATGGATCCTTCTCCGGGATTTGTCACTTGAAAGAAAGAAATGTACGTATGAATTATGGATCAAGTACAGTAGTATAAAAAAGTGACTTTATTTTATGAAGATTACGCTTGACACAAAGCAAAATTATGATATGTCCATGGTGATTCTGTAATGATTTCCCTGGATAAACTTGGATTTCTAAAGATCCTAGTATCTAACTCCACTCCTTCCTCCATCTTGCTAGATTGGGAGTGATAAAATTAAGCCTTGCGTTTTAAAACACCAGACCTACCCAGTTAGTGAGAGTGTGTGTGGATTTGCCATGACAGCTTCTTCAATTGTTTCATCATCATCTTGACGTGGTATAACCCTAAATACCAAAATGTCTTGTATCAGGAAACATTGATACAAGGATAATAAATTCTTCTTTGTTCAAATCAAGATAAAACGTTACAGGAATGGATCAAATAATCTAATACAATGATCTAATAACGATCAAATACGTGATCAAATATTAATGATCTAATACATGTTTAGGAATTAAATGCTTGGTTACCTTTCTCCATTCTATGCTTACATTATCAGAACAGTGACCACAGTAGCTATAGAAAGTTGCTAACATGCAAGTCGCACAAAGGTGTATTGATGTTCTTACTCACCAACAGGATTAATCCTGTTTTCATTAATTGCCCTTTATTGACTCTGGTCAAATATTCAAAACATCCATGAGGAACTGTGTAACTCACTTTTTTACAGCAACAGCCAATGATGATAGACCAGCTAATGATGATGTCACTGTGTTAGGGTTATCACTCCAGTCTTCCCCAGGCTCTTGATCACTATTCACAACATTACCAATACTCCTGATGACTGTCATCGAAACTGGACTGTCATCCCCATTGACTGGATCATGGTATTTTTCTGAATTTTCATTCTATGCGTCAAAATAATTATTTGTCAATAGTGGGAATACCAGGCCTCGAATTTCCCTGAAATCAATCGACGGCAATGGCGTTAAAAATTGCCGTGGAACGTAACAGCTGTCTACGGCAATTTTGGCAGTTTCCACGCCATTTTTCAAATCACTGTAATAAAACTTTAATTTTATTGTTACTTTGGATTTTTGACAAGCTAGAAACATGTCTACGTATTTCTTTAGTGTTTTTTTTTCCGAAGAAAACGGAGACTAAAATAGTGATTTACGCATGATTTGATCAACATCTGAATTAAAGTATCAAAGTAGTAATGCACAGTGAATAGTATAAAAATTGCACTATACGGCAAAAAAAGCCGTCGTTGCTGCAATGATCCACGACATTTTGTTCTCCCTCTACGGCGATAAAATTCGAGCCCTGGGTGGGGAATACAAAAAAGCTATATTAGCTACAAAACATGTTTTACGAATCCTTCAGGAGAATTTTTGCATGATGATGGGTAATTTTCTTTGTAGCCATGTGGTTCAACCAGCTAGTGGTTGTACTGCAGATTAGAGCTGCGCAGTTAACCGAAAGATTTGATCGGTCCAATTGACCAATTCGTTTCGGAAGTCACACTGAGCATATGCAAAAGAACCGGTAGTTTTGGTTCCCGCATGTTGCTCTCACTATTAAGGAAATTTTCTTGAACTGAGGAAAAATGTAATGACATTTTAAGGAATTTTAAGTTTTGGTCTAATATTACCAAAAAAGGCTCTTACAGTACTTGGCCTTTAAAAAAGGTGCAAGCAAAGACATTCCTTTTTCGATAATTTTATTTCAGAATATGTTTATTTCTCTAGTGTATCCCATAATCAATGGACATGTTCTTGTTTCATCTAACTTATTATAAGCTGTTTGTTTATTGATTGAGAAAATGGTCTGAATTGTTCTTCTTTTGAAAATACCGAAACCAATACTGAACCGAGGTTTTTCCACCCCAAAAAGACCGAAATTGGAACCGAGATGAAATTTCTGAAACTGCACAGCTCTACTGCAGCTTTAGAAACCCACAGCTTGAAATAGCATTTCTGGATGAGATTTTTTGGGAATTTTAAGACTACAAAATGTGATATTAAATGCAAGAATGGGTGCAATAACTGGGAAATACTAACTAGCTGAGTAGCTGACCAAATCTGGAGTTTTGACACCACCAACCCCAGTGATTTTTAGTGAGGGACCTTACCACCAAAAGTGGGTGTGTTCATATAGCCATGTAGGTGTGATTATGTATCAAAATGCTATATTTATTCATTAACGTGCATAATATTAAATAAATTAATATCAATAATTTGATATTACCCTTTAAGTGGCAATGCACCCTGATGCGCCCTACTTTAGTATTTTACTCTGTCTAACGCCAGACGATTTTACTTGTCAAGTGGAGAGTGCTGCCACTCAATGGTTAATGATCTGTTTATTACTTTTACTAGTTAACCTATTAAGTTGCATTGCACTCCAATGTAACCTACGTTATTAATTATGTCTAATGCCAGATTTTATTTGTCAAAGGGATAGTGTTGGTGTTATTGAACAATGGCTCATTGAACAAAGTTAATTAATAGAACAAAAGTTAATTAATGAAAATATAGTGAAATAGTCCTGCTTACAACAAACAAAAGATTTCTAGCAAGATATCAGAATTTTCAAAGATATCAGAATCTTTTAAGATCTGTTAGATTCATCATATATATTATGTACACTACCTCTTCTGAAAAATCTTCAGCTCTTATTATGGGCACACAGTTTTCATATGGATCTCCTTCATACTGAAATGATAATTTTGAATAACTATAAGATACATTTTCAGCTAGAATAAAACATCTCCCCTAGAAATTGAAAGTTAACACAACAGGTTGATTTAACTTTAACCTATTAAGTTGCATTGTACCCTACTTTATTATTTTACTGTGTAACACTGGACAATTTTTTCTGTCTAATGCCATTTGAAAATATGATTTTACTTGTCAAGGGGAGAGAGCTGGCAGTGCTCAAATGGGTTAATCATATAACACATTTTAATACCTTTATGATTCTTTGCAGACAATTTCTTACAGTATCTGTTGGACTAAATAAAGAAATTAACATGGACTAGTTCATCAGTTATGACCAAATTCACCATTTGATTACTGTAATTTTAGGGGCAGTTTCAGCATCAGCTAACATATGTACATGCACAATTTGTTAATTTTATATGGAGACATGGGGTATATAGGTATATGTGGGACTTAGATTGCACACCCGTCCATGTGCCCCCCCCCCCCCCAAGACTATATTTAATTCCCTTGGAAAAAATTTGAAATCAGATCTTTATCTTCTAAAAACGTGATTCTTAGCAGTCAAAAGAACACATGTAAAATTGCACTGAAAACTGAAGAGCAAACAAACTTAATTGCCAAAGTTTTTGTTAAATTAAAATCGACTTAAAATACATACATAAGGGTTTGTAACTTGTTTGCTTGTGGGATGTGCAGTTTGTATAGGGTAGTAATTGTGTTTATAGGGTAGTAATTAACCCATTGAGTTGCACTGCACTTTATTATTTTACTCTGTCTAATGCCAGACAATTTCACTCATCAAGGGGGGAGCTAGCATTGGTGCCAAAGTAGTGAAGATCAATCTAGCTGATTCCGATTTTATAACTACGTCATCATGTCAGTCAACTGAGTAAAGGACCAAAGGTGACGTCATTCATTTCGATTTTTTATTTTCCAGTGTAACCTGTCATTGCAACCAAAGTTCGTTAAAAGATTTAAAACCGTTCATGAAGGCACGCTTCACTTATTATTTTGTCGCAGCAACGGTTTGCTCCACACCTAACATGCACCATTTGCACCAATCCCGTTCCCGAGCATGCCCATTCGCAGGTTAAGGGTGGGCATAGTCTGGAGAAATCGAGAGTTCTATGTATGCTCGGCAACTGTTGCAAAATATAAACAAAGTATTTAGAATTTCTCGTCGAAAATTTGATACTTTTTGCACTGAAATCGATTTAAAACAACAAAAAGTCTGGCGCAAATATGTACAAAAGCTTCGGATTGATAAGCATACAACTACCTGAAAAATACAAGGAGAACTTAGACGTTTCAAGCGAAGGTGCTTCGACTTGTACTGTTAGTGTTTGTGTACATCGTACTTGACCTTTTATAATCTCCTCAAGAATGAGAGAATGTTTGCTGTGAAGTGTGGACCTAACACTACGTATACCATAAATTCTGACAGGAGAGTAAAATTTAAATTTTAAAGCACATATATAGTATATGAGAGCAATGTCAATAATCCAATGTCAAGGAAATTTAAACCTTTAGTCCAGTTTTAAAGACATCAACCGCAGATGCACAGCAAACATTCTCTCATTCTTGAGGAGATTATATTTATCAGTGAAGGTCAAGTACGATGTATACAAACACTCAGTACAAGTACAAGTGCCTTCGCTCAAAACGTCAAAGTTCTCCTTGTATTTTTCAGGTAGTTTTGTCCCTATGAAGTTTTCGTACATATTTCCCCCAGAATTTTTAGTTGTTTTCAATGGATTTCAGTGTAAAAATTATCAAATTTTCGATAAGAAATTCTAAATACTTTGTTTATATTTTGCAACAATAGAACTCCCAACGTACTATCTGCCACTCGCCAATCACCGGCCTGAATCAATTCGATTTCTCCAGAGCTATGCCCACCCCCTGCAAACGGGCATGCTCAGGGAATGAGATTGCATTTGCACAAGAGATTAAATTAAATATTTGATTTTCAAGTTTTTCATAGAAAAGCGGATCCAGGTTGAGTAATTTGTACAGGCAACGTAGTGTATTTCAAAACTTTTACAGAGATGTGCTATTTGTGGTGAAAGCCTTGATAGCTATTATTTCCATAAAATTTCTTTAACCCATTAAGTTGCATTGTACCCTAATACAGACCTGCCAAGTTCGGAAGATAAGAATGTGTGACATCTCAGAGTTTGGCTTCTCTAATGATATTGCTAATAACAATATGTAAGATTTGACCAAGGCTCCTCCACAATTGTCCATACTCATATATAGGTCGAGAAATTGGGCTAAAATATGCACTGAAATGCTGTAAAGCACAAATTTCTTACTGAAGAATTAAGATATGTGGAATTGCGCGACTTTAAGGCAATTTTCAGCATGGGCGCGGATCTGTGGAACCAAAATTTAAAAGCGCGACTTTCAGGCTAAATGTGTGGCACTTGGCAGCTCTGATATTGGCATAACAATAGCAAATGGTGAGATTTAGTTTTACGATTTACGTCTGCCTTTATATTACGTCTGTGTTATTATACTATTTATTTTTCCAGGTATATTGATATCGAAAAAAATATATTGATAATATTGACTCATCAAATATTTTGATAGAATTATCAAATTATACATTGTGTGGATGGTGATCTTCTGTGATCACACTTATTTGAAAACAATAAGTTGCTACTCGAATTCCCAATTGCCATTATACAAGTGTTTTATAAACTTTACAGGAGGTTTCGGTTACCGTCAGTCGTGAAAACACTAAAAATTTAGCGTGAATCATGAGGAAAAAATACTGTTTATTGTTAGAGAACACTTTTCAAAGATTTACTGTTAAAATAAAATACGGGACTATGAGGGATTGGCATTGTATCATAAACAATCGGAAACGCTTTGTTGTTTTTATCCAAAGTAAATATTTGAATCGTAGAATTCACTATTACTCAAACTGCCAAACTACTTTCAATCCTACTGTTTTGTCCTCGCATTTGTTGATGTGTGGAGACATTCATCCCAATCCAGGACCAACAATGGCTAACATTAACTCAACTAGCCGTGGTAACCTCGGTTCGCGTAAACATAATCCTGAACAAAAACATTCTAGCTTGTTTTGCATGTGCATGAATGCAAGGAGTTTGAAAAAGACCTTACTTACGCCGGAGAATCGTCATGTTTCCAATTTAATCAAGTTTCAAGAGCTGGTTTACTCAGAATCGATTGATGTAATGTTCGTAACTGAAACTTGGCTCAACAGCGATATATCTGATAGAGAAATCTTACCAATTGGGTATGACATTTACAGAACTGACAGATCACTGGGGCGATCTGGGGGAGGCGTACTTATTGCAATTAAACAAGATACTTTCATAAATTGTAATCAAATTTTGTCTGTTTCTATGAAAAACTTAGAGGCTGTTGCTATCGAGTGTACATTACCTAACCTCACGAAATGGCTTGTTGTATGTTGTTACAGACCTCCCGATAGTAATGATATGTCCGATTTCCGTTCCTTTGCTGATAAGTTATTCCCTGTCTACGACAAGATCCTTATCGCCGGTGACTTTAACCTCCCGAATATTTCCTGGACAGATTCTAACTATACCGCAACAGGATCATTGAATCAGAACTTCTGTGATGTATTAGACGACTACTTCATGTCCCAACTTTGTTTGGTTCCCACTAGAGAGTCGAACATTCTGGATTTACTAATTACCAACCAACCAGAACACATAACATTAACGGTCGTCCACCCTCCAGCTGAGTTAGGAATGAATTCTGATCATAATATCATACACTTCCAAATCTCCACCTCATCAAGTATTGTCCCCCCAAACAAACGTTTGATTTACGATTACCGACGAGCAAACTTTGACGGTTTACGAAAAAAACTAATCGATATGGACCTTTGCACTCTGTTAACAAACAATGGCACGGAATGCAGTATTGATGACGACTGGTTCACCTGGAAGAAAGCTATCTTGTCAGCTATGAATGAATTTATCCCTACCAAACACGTAGACCCCCATCGCACACCTCCTTGGATAACATCAACCATACTACATCAAATTCGTAAAAAGGTAACAGCCCGAAAGAGATTTCTAAGCCGAGGGACTGAATATCTCAAGGCGAAATTCAACCAGCTAAGAACTGACGTTAAAAAATTAATTAAAGAAAGCAGAAAGTTGTTTTTCTCATCCTTAGGAAACACCCTACGAATCAATCCAAAACGTTTCTGGTCTGTCTTTAAAATCAACTCGAACACCGGAACTATCCCTAAGTCAGTCTCAAGGACAAATTCCAACATTCCGGTGACTAGATTACATGCAAACACGCCTCGCGATATTGCAACAATGTTCAATGAATATTTCCATTCTATCTACACCAACTTTCCGGGGCAATCTTCATCACCCCGGCCTGATTCCTCACCTCCTCTATCCAGTATATCATCCATTGACCTCTCTATAGAAGAAGTATACCTAGCCTTACAGAACTTAGATCCCTTCAAGGCTCATGGTCCTGATGGTTTTCCTTCTCGTGTTTTAAAGGAATGTGCATTTCAACTTGCTCCTTCTCTACACTACCTGTTCACAAAGTCCCTCCGCTTATCACAGATTCCCACCGAATGGAAGCTAGCCAACATCATCCCTCTACACAAGAAAGGTGTAAAAGAACACGTGGAAAATTACCGACCCATTTCTTTGTTAAGCATTGTCAGCAAGACTCTTGAACGCTGTGTCCTAAACCACCTATATCTACGCATACAGGAAAGCGTTCACTCAGCACAATATGGATTCATTAGTGGAAGGTCTACCACATCTCAATTACTATCGACACTACACAAAATAGGGAAGGACTTAGATAAAGGACTACAAACAGACGTTGTCTTCATGGACATTTCCAAGGCTTTCGATACCGTTGACCACTCCAAACTGTTACAAAAACTTCGCGATTTCGGTCTATCTGGCTCTCTTTTGTTGTGGTTTGAAAACTATCTATCAGGTCGCTGTCAACGAGTAACTGTTCACGGTGCGACATCTACTTCCTTACCAATAACATGCGGAGTCCCACAAGGTTCATTGCTGGCTCCCTTCCTCTTCTCGGTGTACATTAACGATTTGCCCGATAACATATCCATTTCTACTGGGGTCGGTTTGTATGCTGATGATACCAACCTGCACAGATGTGTGCAAAATCGTAACGATGCACTGGCATTGCAATCGGATATTCAAAGCCTCCATTGTTGGTCAAATGAGAACATGTTGAGCTTTAACAAATCGAAGTGTAAAGTGTTGTCTATCACAAGAAGGAAGTCTCCCTTAATTTACGCATATGCACTTGGCGATCACCAACTATTGTCTTCTGATGTAGAGTCCGATCTGGGCATTACGATCAGTTCGAAACTATTATGGAATGTTCAGATCAACAAAGTTCGGTCAAAAGCCAACAAAACGCTCGGGTTAATCCGACGTTCTACCATGGAGATAACGGATACCAACGCGAGAAGGCTTCTGTACCTTCAACTAGTGCGAAGTAACTTTTCCTATGCAACCCAAGCCTGGTGTCCTCAGTCAGTGAAACTTATTGAGGACGTTGAGAAAGTGCAGAGACGAGCAACTAAATACATATTGAATCTTGGGTTTATCACAGACATTTCTTACAAGACAAGACTCCTTCAGCTTGACATATTACCTGTCTCATATTGGCACGAATACTTGGATCTGGTGTTCCTCTACAAGATCATCAACAGTCTTACGTACATTGACGAACGTGTTCTACCGATCATGGCTGGATCAGGAATTACAAGAAGTGAATCCAACGCAAACCTAATTAGATTTGTTATTCCTTATGCGAAAACCGTAACATTCCAAACCTCATTTTTTATAAGAACTTGCAAAACGTGGAACATATTAGATAGTAACTTGCGTACTAGAGATATAGGTTTGCTGTCTTTTAAATCAGGTCTTAAACTCTACTACAAACATGCACTATCCAAAACATTCAAATGTGACGATCCGCGCACCTGGAAATCAGTGTGTGTAAAGTGCAAAAGAGCAAGATCGCTTAACAATGAAATAAGCTGTTGTTAGCCTTATTAGTTTTAGCTTGTTGAGTTGCTTGAAAATTTGTTTTGTACAGTAATTTTATTCTTGTTTATATGGGATCGCCGTAATTGGGGAAACCTGTGGCGAATTCCCTGGCTCTATATGTTGTATTTAAATAGCAGCCGAATCTTATTAAATTAAATTAAATTAATGAGCATTGAGAAATTTTTGTAAATGCGCACTGAAGAATTAAATTATTATTATTATTACTGCATGCAAGGTATGGTAATTACGCACTATTAAAAAATTTAAATGTTAATAAAAAGATCATTACCTTTTTCAAATTTTTATCAAATTAAAACAATGAAATTCAAGTTTATATTTTTTTATTTCGATGCATTTTATATTAATAAATTTTTATAAAATTCTGATTTAATCGGAATATTATATTCAGCAACATTTCCAACTCCAATTTTAAGTAAATGTTTCTTATATTTTAGAAAGTGTGTTAAATACCTTATTGTTCAACCATTTGATTATCAGGTAGACATGAATCCAAGTTCCCGTTTTCAAATATTTTTCTAAATACGATTTCACCTTTTTCTCCGGGGGACATCCCATAGAGGTTATTTTGTTGAAACATTTTGTAATATTCCTCGGTAATGTCTTCTTTTTCGCCAAAAATAAGGAAAGCATTTCGATAACAGTCTCGATGTCTTTACGAAGACTCGAAGCAGGGTAATAACCAGACGGTTTTAAAATATTCATCAAACGATCTACCAGTTTGCGTACTGTCGCATCTCCTTCTCCATTAATGGGTTCTGGCTGTAAACCATGTTGCAACATTACAACAAGATGATGACAATAAATACCAATTCGATCTTCGATTGACTTCGAATCAGCTTTCAGAAAAAAAGTGCGGAGAATACTTTCACCTGAACGGACATCGCAGTACAATTCTGTATTATCCACACTGTAACAATTTAATGCGTTGTTAATACGTTCAGCGAGCTCTTTTCTTTTTCCAATTTCATTGGCTCTGCAAAATTCTTTCATCATTTCTTTGTACGATAGGTCTGACGATGTTTGAATTATATCAGCAGCTGCTTGAAAAATACAAGAACAAAGCATAAAATTATGAAGTAAATTTTCTCACAAAATCGGTCGATTGCCTGCATTTAGTATCAGAAGACAGATTTAGAAAAGACGACGCGAGCTCAAAGACGACGCGCGGATGTCGTCGTTTGGCGCCGACTGTCATCAGCTTCTACTTTGCGATGTCGTCTTGGACGATTTCATGTATGAGTTATGAGATTTATGCTTCTTTTGAAAAAGATATGACAGCATGCATCACAAACATCATCCTATTTTCTTCCCCATGTATTTTATAATGATTCTAGACACGTGTTTTTTATGTAGACACGCTCAATAAGTGATTTAATTCTCGTAGTTATAGCTATCTAGTAATGTCCAATACAGGCATTTGATGTCTGATGGGGAAGATGGTGTCAAATAGTGTCTGCACGATGGCTCAAAGGTTTACAGTATTGTGTAGGGTGTACGATGGTCGAAATGTGTCAGATGGTTATCAGATGGTGTAGGTTGGTTATACAGGGAAGGGTTATCAGATGGTGAAGATGGGACAGATAGTGTATGATGGTCGAAGTGTGTCAAATGGTGTATGATGGTCCAAGTGTGTCAGATGGTTGTAAGATGGTGCAGTTTGGGGGGGGGGGGGGACACAAATCCGCCGATCCGCCCAAATTTGAAGCAAAATCCGCGATCAGACAATGGTCTTGTCTAAATTTGGATCCGCTAAAAGCTCTACTATGAAGTCACAATCCAGGATCCGAACTAAATTGCAAGCTAAATCCACAATCCGAGCCAAAATATTAGATAAATCCACAATCCGCTGTATTAACAAGATCCTCAAATCTGTGTAAAATACTTTCCAGATCCGAAATCCGAACAATTTTTTCTGTGAAATCCGACTATCCGAAATCCTATTCATCCCCCCCAGTGTGGTTATACAGGAAAGGGTTGTCAGATAAGACTATGGTCAAAGTGTGTCAGATGGTTTTCAGATGGTGGATGATGGTCGAAGATTGTCGGATGGTTGTCAGATGATGTGGGGTTGTTATACAGGGAAGGTACGTTGTCAGATGGTGAAGATGGTACAGATGGTGTGTGATGGTCGACATGTGTCAGGGTACTCCAGAATTACAGCTCTAATTCAAATGTGCGATAACTGGTACGAAATATGAATAATGGCAAGTTAACAGGGGTAGTTTTCCTTGATATCAGAGAAGCTTTCAATTCAATAGATCATGTTATACCACTTGAAAAACTAGCTTTCTACGGCGCTTCACAATTTGAACTTGCATGTTTTCAATCCCACCTCTCAAATCGGCAGCAACAGTGCCAAGTAAATGGCTGCCTCTTCAATAAAGGTGAAATCATTTGCGGGGTTCCACAAGGTTCAATACTTGGCCCGTTGTTGTTCCTAATTTATATCAACGATTTACCCAACAGTCTAAAGACAATAACACCCTGTCTATATGCAGATGATACCCAAATTTTCGCCTCTTCGCACGACTCTGTTGAGCTGGCTAATAATATTAACTCTGATTTAGAGAATGTCACAGATTGATTAAATGTAAATAAACTTGTCAAACAAAATTTGACCAACAAAGTTGATGACTTGTACAACAGCATTGTCATGAACAATAATGTACTTTCACCTGTTTATAGACGGCCGGCCAACTTGACAAAATTCGCTTCAAAAAACCTTTGATGGCATTTTGTGTTACAAGCAAACAAAACATATAGACATATTGTTTAGACACTTACCTAACTTATTAGGCCTAACTTATTACGATTTCTGCACCTCCCAAAAGCGCGTAAACTACACAGGAAAAATGGCGGGAAATGAAAATTGGGCTTTCCCCAGCTCCCGAAATAACCAATCAGCGCTTGCCTTCAACTTGCGAGTGTTCCCTTGTTGCCTTGACAACGACAAACTCGAAAGAACTTTGGTCGTTTTTTTCACTGTTTTCAACACAAAATACACTGTAAAAAGCGAATTTGTATATAAAAAACCAACAGAAAAGCAAAGACATCAAAGAATACACAGTAAAGTTTGTATATATGTTTTTTCTACTTATTTTAATAATGTAGTTCATTAAAAATCACTTCAATATTCATAGCTTTTATGGTACTACTTGCTTATGAATCTTTCCGCTTTCACTTTGATAACATTTACAGTTGTCACTTCAAGTAGTTTATGTGTTCTTTCCAACAACAAAAAGCAATCTTCTAATCAGGTCGCCAATAGAAGTTTTCCTTCGGATATATTTTTTTATGCAGCAAAAATGAGTTATGAGTCTAGCTCAAAACGACCTTTATATCCGAAAATAGATCCAATAACTGTCCTTAAAAAGGTTAAGAAAGATTCAGAGATTTCCAAGTGAGCGCAGTGAGACTGCAGCAGGCAGTGGCTTGAGTAGTGCAACAGAGGAAGGGAAAAGCAAGGTTTTTGAGGTTGCCCTAAAAAGAAAATCTCTGAATGATACAAGTTCCCTAGGTGTTATTGAAAGGATACTTGCTACCATTGGTACCGGTGAAAATATAAATTTAGATGATTTAAAATGGCATCGTTCTTGTTACAGCAAGTTCACCCATATAGGCATGCTAAATAGGCTTGAGAAGAAACAAGAGGGCATAAAAACAGTCCATGAAGCTTCAACTAGTAATACTGTTGCACATAAGGCCTCCACACGCAGCAGACATGAGCATAACATAAAATGGGAAATATGTATGTTTTGTCAAGCAAGTGAAGACAAAAACCTCAGAAATGTTATGACGATGACACTGTCAGATAAAATTTTATCAATGGCAAAACAAGATGTTGTTATGAGTGTGGACTAGCAAATGTATGCGACCTAGTGGCTGCAGAGAGGAAATATCATGTATAGTGCTGGGTTAAATTCCAGAGAACAATTAGTACATCCAATTTGAAAACTGTGGATCCTAGGAATAGTGACCAATCCCTTGATATACTTTGTTCTGCTATTCTAACAGGGTTAAACTCTGGTCATGTGTATGATATCGGAAATATCTGGGTTCACTATAAGAAATTGTGTTCTAATCTAAACATGCAAATCCACCAGAAATATATAACAAGGAGGCAATCATTTTATAACGACATCCAAAATTTAATTGGTGAAAAGGCTGGTTTTATTAGACCCATAGATCCTAAGGCTCACCTCCTTGTTTACCCCAACAATAAGACTGATTATGCTGTAGCACAACACCTAGAATATGTGAGTAATGATGATGAAGACAAGCTTGGTAATGAAGATCACCTTGTTCCCTTCCAAGACAATGCACTGCTAGAATTAGTCCATAGAGCTATGACCATCAGGAATGATTTGGAAAATACACCAGGTCATAGTGCTGCATGGTGTGGGCTAGATAAGGAACATGTTGCTAAGGTTATTCCCCAAAGCTTATATACTTTTCTTTCAGTTCTTTTCGGGGGAACAGATAGATTAGAAGAAAGATCATCTAAATTAGATGACCATATCACTAGCATTGCTCAGGATATATTTTACTTAGCCTCTAGAAAGAGAAAGTTGATCCCAAAGCATATTGGTCTAGGGCTTACACTACACCAGGCAACTAGGTCAGAAAAGCTTGTTGATTTATTTCATGCAGCAGGTCATACAATAGGGATGGATACAATTAGAAGAATTGATACTACAATAGCTTCAGATATAATCGACAGGTTTAACAAAAATGGGCATATATATATCCCAAATGAGCTTGTGCCATATTCCCCTAGCCGTATTGTTCTAGCCTCATGTGATAATATTGATGTGCTTGAGGAAACAATAGATGGAAAAAACACATTTCATTGCACGCAAATGACGCTGTGGCAAAGAGGCCCGGCAAATATAAGGTCTGACATAGATAATAAGCACATCAACAGGGCAAAAACAATAACAAGAGATAGCTTAGATCAATTCCATAAGTTAGATCATGCCAGCATGCCAGTTGGTGAAAGGCCAAAGCCAGTTAGTAACCTTCCTCCTGACCTAGAAATAGAAAAGTGGTTTAATAAAAGCAATAATCAGGTTGAGTCAAAAATGAAAAATATGGCATGGATAATAGCACGTATGTGCCAAACCTCTCAACAAATGGTGCCAGCTTGGGCTGCTTTTAATGAGAAGATTAGCTTAGTTAACTCACCCATTACTACGCCTGGTATGTTGCCTATACTTCAGGCTCCTGCAGATGATAATAATACCATGACAACCATACTTAATCGCTTTACATCAATTGCTAAACATCTTGGCCAGCCAAATACTGTAATAGCAGTAGATCAACCTTTGTACAGTAGAGGCAAGGAAATTATTTGGGCCAACCCTGAAAAATATCAGAATGTAGTTTTGGTTATGGGCCATTTGCACGTTCTCTTTAACTTTCTTAAAGCAATAGGTCAACATATGGAAAATTCAGGGCTTGCAGATATATGGGTTGAGTCTGGTGTTTTTGCGCAAAATACTACTGGTGCAATGTTAGAAGGGAAGCAATATTATCGAGCTGTAAGAGGTCATCTATTAACATATGAAGCTTTAAGTCGAATTTATTGGCAATATTTTACTTCTTGGTTAACATCTAATGAAAGGGAGGTTAATATAAAATCAATGATAGATCAAATAGTAAAGGAATTCTGCCAC